GAAAATGGAAAAATGGAAACAAAGTCTTTGTAAATAGGGAGGGATGGAGGGGTTGAAGGGAGGGCAGGGGAATGGGGAAAAAATAAGAACCAAGAGAGATTATATAAAGGTGCAAATTACCAATGATAAATGTCATTATACTCTATACCTAAAATGTACCAATAAAATTAATTTTAAAAAACAAGAAAAAGAAAAAACAAAAGACATAATAGAAAAGAAAAGAGAAAAATGTTGTAATTCAGTATGGACATTGTACATATAAGTGTACCTTGATTTAGTATAACTGTGTTAGGTGTTTTATATGTTTTTCAAACTGTTAATCTGACTGTTAATCTGTATGTATGATAATTAACTTTATAAGGACTTATAAGATAAATAAGTGAATCTGATAGAAAATAAAGGATAGAGGCAAAGCGGAAAGAAAAAAATTGAGATATGTTACGTACATGCACCAGTTCTCCACAGTGAATGAACTTACTCATTATGTACTGCAAACATGTATAATTAAAAATAAAAAATTTAAATTACATAAAGAGTTCAAAATTTTACTGAAACAGAAATGGCTAAGAGGTTCATATTCATAGTATTCTTCATGGGACTTTAAAAGTGGACTTAGAAAATTTAGGCATCCCTTTGCTATTTTTTCATTATTTATTTTTTCCTCCTGATTATTTGCCAAAATTTTATGCACATTGCAGTTTTTCACATGGCTGCTTCTACTACACATTGTACGATTATTAACTACTTCCCCAAATGTTATTTCCCTCAGCAGATTATTTCTTAGGTATTTATTATACCAGACATAATGTGATTTTTGAGAAAATTGAGTGAAACCCCTACTCTCTATCATTCATTTAAAGAACAATTATCATTACAATTTTCCTTTGTGTTAAAACCATATAATCCTTTGCATTTGACAAATAAAAATATTTTTATGATGCAGAAAAAAAGAACACAGTTCAAATCAGTATTTTTGAATTAATAGTCTAATTTTGCTTTTTAAATTCTAAACTTGAATGAGAAAAGCACAGTTTCCTCGGAGGGTATCATCGCAACTGAAATATGAAGTATGAATACTTTCCAAAAAACGTGGGGCTCATCAACTTACGTTTGTATCCACCAGCAATGCCCGATTGTGTCAGACATCTTTGTAATTCATCAGCATCTATTTGTCCATCCTTTTGAAAAAAACAGGAAAAGGAATCACAACAGTGATTTTGTACTATACGTCAAAGTTCCTTGTTCATCGTCAGTATAACAGTAATGAAGAAAGAGTAGCATGTGTTAGATTTTTCTTAAAAAAAGGAATTTTTCCAAAAGTGGGCATTACTTTCCTCACCCTAACTCCAAAGCTAATTTAATTTAATAGACTAACTTAGAGTCTATTTTGGCAACATCATTCAGTCTGGACTAGGAAACTGCTAAAACTAAGCATTTTTCAAAAATTATTTATGAAGTTGATTGAAAAGAATTTTTTTGAGGGAGGCAGACTGAGCCAGATACACGGCAAACATCAGTAAATAACTTGGTTCAAACAGAAAGACTCCTTGTTCACCTTTTCATTTGGTGAGTTTTCTTTCTTTCCAGAGCACAATATCTGGAAGTTACAGATTAGGCTCCCAGTCAAAACCAGCTTATTGGCTGCACTAGATGAGACCTACAGATATTTTCACTTTTAGGGATTTTAATATAAAATAATTTAATCCTCCAGTCAATGAGTACTATGAGGAGCAGGATCAATAATTTCAAAGAGGTCGAACATGAGAACACAGGGCAAAGCTGCTGAAAGCTAAGCAGGTGGGGTCACTTACTTATTGGCCACACGGGACACCTAAGAACACTGGTCTTGAGGTGTGCCGTGTCTTGTGGTTTCAAAGACACAGATCAGTAACAGATGAAGCAGATACTCAAGAGGAAAGTCTTCCAGTTTTAGACTCAATTTTCCATTCAAATTCTCAAAGCTATGTTTCTTAAGAGTGTTATTTCAAAAGGTGGTCTTAGGTTTTTATTCTGTAATATTCTACAGTACTTTTTTGCACTATGGTTTGGCAATTTTTAGCTTTTAATCAAAACAAGGCTGTGCTGAACTGCTAAGGATAAGCATGCCTTCTGAACTTGTCTGGACCATGCCAACAGTGCATTTACTGCACATGGTGACCTTGTGAGTCAGGCAAGGGTCCATCCTCCAGGCAATCCAGCATCTGTCCCACAACTCAGGAATGCAGGGAAGTGGTGTTGGGAGCTGACCTGAATTCGGTCATCTCTGGGTCATCAGGTCACAATTCCTAATAAGGACAATGGAGGCACTAACCTAGTAGCAGCGCAGGAGAGAAAGGAAGCTTTGCAATATTAACTTCCTGATACTGAGACTAGGAACCTTCTTACTTAGAAGTTGATGCGTTTTTATATACATACCTATTTCCTGAAGGAGTAAATGATTAACAGATTCAACAGAAAAAAGTATCCTTCGAACCTGGCTACACGAACACTAATACGTGTCATTAAATTATACAAACGGGTTTCTCAGCTCTTGAATTTCTTCTCTTGACACCACTCCAGACTCTAATAATTGAGTTCTAGAGAAATCTTTCTACCCACAGATCTTCAAAATATATTTATAATCCTCCATGCTTTTCTATCTTGTTTAATCATAAGTTTGGTTTGAACTGAACAAACCCCAATACAGGTAGTAATACTTGGTCCTGCTTTGATCTAATATATGCGAGAACTAAAACAGGAAATAAAGAACTTTCCTTCTCTTTTTTGCACAAAAAAGGGACTCATTTCAGGGCAAAGTTTGCTCGTTTGGACCTCTAGAATCAAAAGCTAACACAAACACAAAATCTGATCATTTTTTAATGTTAAAGGAAAAGCTAACCTGTCCAGCCACTGCAGCAAAGTAGCCGTACAGGGGATCCTGTGTCTGTCCGGGAAAGGCCGGGCCTCCGGGCGCCCCTCCATACTGTCAAACAGGAAACCAAAGCGTCATTATCCTGCTGCATCGAGTTTTACTCACCACCAAGAGCTTTCCTGCAAAGCTGGGCAATGGTGGCCTGCCCTTCCCATGATTTAACACCCCCCACACACCCCGCGGCCCTGCGCCACAAGCCAACTACAAGCGTCCTGCCCGTCCTCAGCCCTTCATAACCTAACAACTGAGACGTGGGCACGGCCCGTACAAGTGTCCACCAGAACGACGTCAGCCCAAGCGAGGCCACTTTAGAAATCCCTATGGACGTGCGGCTGACAGAGGCACACGAAACCGGGGCGTGCATTGCAGCGCAGGGCAGGACAGGGCAGGGCGCCGTTATCCTCAGGAGACTGGAGCTGGCGCAGGGAGGCAGGCGTGGCTGGGCTGCAGGGCCGAGGGAACGGGGCGCGGGTCTGCACGGCTCAGCCCCGGGCGGCGGGCGGTCCCCACCCGGCTCCCCTCACTGTCGTCAGAGGCGGGGCGCAAGGCCCAGGCCATAGGCGACCAACAGGGCAGGTGGAGTCTGTGGAGGAAACCGGAGGAGGAGGAAGCCGTCCTGGTCCTCCGACCCCCAGACCCCACGCGGGCGACCCGGAGGAGCAGGGCCGGGGGTGCAGGGGACAGAGAGGGAGGCCAGCCGCCGAGTCGCGCCGGGCGGACGGCATCCCAGGAGAGGTCCAGTCCCCGCGGGCAGCCCTTACCCCGCCTTGGTAGTACCCGCCGCCCGCGCCAGGGTGTCCGTGGTAAGCCATGGTGCAGACTGAACGCCCCCGCCCGCCCGTCCGGCCCCGCCCGCCCGTCCGGCCCCGCCCGCCCGTCCGGCCCCGCCCGCCCGTCCGGCCCCGCCCGGCCGCGTCCGGCCCCGCCCCGTCGCTGCTCTCCCCCGCCCCGCCCCAAACCCCTCCTCCAGGGCGCTTCCGGGTCTTGGCCGCCTTCTGTGCGAGGCCACCAGGCCTAGAAGGTCCCAGTGTGATCTCAACCTGCTGTGAGGTTTCCTCCGGGACGCTCCTCCTCGAGAGACGTTGGCGCTTCCAACAAGTACCAGCACGGTGCCCCGGGAACCCTTCCCTCCGCCAGACCCGCTGTGACCTTGGTGCGGGTCGGTGGGGTCTGAACGCGGCCAGACTACTCAGGAAAGGGAATCTTTTGAAGGATCCGCAGGATTCCCTTTCCCCAAGCTACTCTGCCATTTCTTACACAAGTTAAGAGCAAGGAAGTGTCCTGTTGAACGCTGAGGAAGATGAGCAATCTGCACTTTACTTGGGTTATTCAGAAAATGCTTTGCTTCACAAGTTTTCTTTTCGTTCAGTGGAATGACGTGAAGCAATTTAGACATGAAATTTTAGTTTGGTTTCTTGTAAAGCAGAAAATTCTCGCATCTTGACTAACTAGACGATGCTTTTCTGTTGGCATTGAGAAATGCATCATTGGGTCCACAGCGTTTGCCAAGGGGTTGCATGGAAGCGCCGAGGGACTCATCAACCTCCTAGAGACACCAAGCACCCGTGGGGTGTGGGCCTGCGCGCTGCCAGAGTAGACTTACTTGTTCCCCTCGAGTTCCATGTTCCGGCCCGTATTCTTACTTGTCAGGTCCCTTGTTTCCCTTACGTGTAACTTTCTTCTCAGGGTCTCTTTTTAAATACACAGACTCCAAAAATTAAAGTCCTGGATAGTGAGAAAAGTTCCAGCAGTCCTTACGGTCTCATAACAAATAAACTACGTTACCTGTTTTGCGTTTATTCAGGAAGTTCATCCCTGTTTTCCTAAACCACAGTAATCATCAAGTGGAGGAACCGTTTTTGAGTTCCTTGGCCTCTGTTTTGAAGCCTTCAGCTCAGATCAGGGTTGAATTCATAATTGAGTATAAACACTTCAGACTCAAGTCTGAAGAAATGCATAACAAATAAAATCTTTGTAAGTAATGCAAAGTTGGTTTTATGAATTAGTGACTATTCTGTCTTTTTAGTACTCTTTGGATATCTTCCTATTCCTCCCACCCCCGGAAAAGAATTGAATTTTAATGGAGTTCTATAATGAAATTTTTACAATTATTGATAACACATTTGGTAAGCTACTGCTGAAAAACATTTCTGGAAGTGTCTGAAAAAGTCGTGGCAACTAATGTATATATGATACTTAATATGCTCCAGACTTCCTCTAAGCATTTTACACATTTGCAGGATCCTCACAAATCTCCAAGATAGGGGCCATCATTATCCTCATTATGCAGCTGGGGAATTGAGAGAACTTGGCCACATGGAAGGGGCTGCCAGGCCCAGGAGTTGCAGAGTCTGTGCTCTCTGCCAGGGGGCAGCAGACTTAGGTCTGGGTGATGAATGCTTTAGGTCAAATCCTCCCTGAAAATGGCTACTTAACTCTGCTCTCATAGCTCCCAAGGATCCAGGGATAGCACATAAAAGAACAGTGTGGTTGTGTACCAATACAACTTTATTTATGTACCCAGGGTAGGCTTTCATACAATTTTCATATATCATGAAAACTTTGCTTTCTTTTTAAAAACCATTTAAAAATGTAAATATTGTTCTTGGCTCCTGGGTATACAAAAAAAAGGGGTCATAGTTTGGCAACCACCACTGTGCCTTTCAGGATGCTGGCTTCTTAGCAACTGATTTGCTGGCTGTAAGACAATGCCTGTGGATAGCAGTGGCTTAGTTACCCTGTGGAATAGAGACCTTCCAGGGGTCAGATCCTGTGTATAGAGTGGCTACCTCAGAGCCCTGGCTGTTAGCCAGGAAGACGATCAAGAGGAACATGGTGAGTCCCTGACTTGTCTCTCTCACCCTGTGCAGTAGCAACCAGAGAGCATGCAAAATGACAAAGCTGGATGTCACACTGTCTTTTAAATGCTTACCCAGGTAACATGGATCCTTGACTTGGTTATTTTTCTCATTGCTGTGACAAAATACCTGACACCTAAAGTTAAAGGAGGAATGGTTAATTTTAGTTCACAGTTTGTAGAGGTTTCAGTCCATAGTTGGCTGGCTCCACAGCAGAACAGTATAGTAGAGGAGAAACAGTCCATGGTATGGTAGGCAGAAGACAGCAAGCAGTGAAGTAAGGTTCGCTTTCCCTTTTATCCTATCCGGGCCACAAGCCTGTTCAGTGGTACCATCCACACCCAGGGTGGAGCTTCCATTATCCACACCCAGAGCTATGCTAAGTCCATTTAGTTATCACACACCCTTAATACCAGGATTACATATCCTAATCCAGCATCACACATCCATGATCCAACAACCTCCCCAAAGCCCCATTTATGAATGCATGGAGACTTAGGGGGACATCTAGATACAAGCCACAACAATTCTCTTATTTATAAGCTGAAGATTATGAAATCTAAACAATTTAGAAAACAAAAATGAGTCAATAACTACAACAATAGAAGTGTTTTTATGTTATGACTTGAATGTTCATTCCAATCTAAGATATGGGTGTTGAGTGAGGGGAATAAGCTACTTTACTAAGTCCATGGTGTGTGCCAAGTGTCATAGGTGTTTCCTTATAACAAGTGTCATATAGATGTTTCCTTGTTATACCACATCTGAAGCACATCACTTCAAAAAGACATGCAGTTGTTTTATAGATGAGGAAATTGAGGCATACATAAGTTTCCCAAGGCTACATGCCAAGTTTTGACTCCTGATCTGGTCTAAAGGATAGGTAAAGTAAAAAACTATAAGGATACTAAACTGAAGTTCACAGGTTTCTTCCTCATTGTGTTGCTTCCTGGGGAATTAGGGCAGAGTGAAGCTAAAGAAAAAAAAATCTTAAAAAACCTCTCAAAAAGTCTCAAGTGTCCACCTTGGGCAAGATCATAAAAATAAAAGAATTATACTTATTTCTTTTATTACTAAATATACCCTAGTGTTCATTTTAATTTTGAACCAAATAAATATCTTCATCGAATAAAAACTCAATATTTCCCTATATCTCCAAATTGCAAATCCTAGTTAGGCACACTGTAAACCATAAGGCATTTAAAAAAACTCAGCAAGAGAGAACCCAAGCTGTATATTTAAAATATTAAGAGGACTTCCTAACTGGTGTGGACAGTCTAGGGTGGTAGAACATTGTGTTATTGCTTCTAACAATTTTCTAAGTCCTAGAAAAAAATATAGCCAAGTCACCATGACTGAGGGCTGTGGCAGCAGCATGGCTTAGGGAGAGAGCCACATAGGAGATGAATCATACTTATTTGGGGAAGTTGTTGGAATCACAGAAACCTTTGCGATCATGTACTTCATGCTGTTTTACAGATTTAAAATAAAATGAGCTTGGGAGAAGGCGAATAACTGGCTTTTTGAAGGGCTGACTTGCCTAGAGGTAAATATTTTCCCCTTTCCAATTAAAGCTGTGATGCTATTTGAATTTGCCTCTTATAGAGGGTTATAGTTTTAAATTTAAATATCTCCCCAAAGCCATATGTGGGGCCCAGCTGGGAGGTGGGAGAACCTGTAGAGGTGGTGGGTGGATCCTAGCAGAGGAAAATCAGGACACTGGAAGCATGATCTGGAAGGAGATGTTGCCCCTTCCTCCCTCTCCGTGCTTCTCCAGCTGCCATGAAGTGAGCAGCTTCATTCCACCATCCTCTCCCCACCATGGTGTACTGCCTGGCTCACCACGGGCACCAGAAACAACAGAGCCAAATGACCATGGACTGACAGCTCTGGAACCATGAGGCAAAATAAGTCTTCCTAGTTTTTTTATCTTAGTATTTTGACTCAGTGATGGAAAGCTGACTAATAGAGAGGATCCTGTTCTTTTCTGGTATGTGTTCTTTGGTTCCTCTCTAATCAGGTTTTCAAGACAAAAGGCAGTATTGACACTCTCCTTTGTCTCTACTATCCAGGGTGAACTTCCTCATTCAGGCAGGTAGAAAGAGAAGTTATATAACTACCAGTAACTAACTGCAAATTTCACCATTTCCTGCGGTTGAATAATCACAAGTCTTAATGTATCAGGAAAGAATAAACAATAACATTTGCCAGATTAAAGTCTCAACTTTTTAGTTCTAATCTGGGTGTATCACCTCATGGTTTAAAAACTTCAGCCTTAGATAGAAACGTAAATCTTCTAGTATGAGTAGAAATGAATGTTTTTTTAACAACATAACTGACCAATCAATGCTATCTCTCTTTTATTAAGATTGTTAGGAAAGAGTAATGAGTAGATATTAACTAGTGGAAATGGTAGTTTTTTTCTCTCTATTGCCCAGAATAAAAATGCAACAAATTGAATAATTACATAATTATTTTCAAGAGATAGTAAAACTTCCATCATTGCTGCTTTAGTACTTGCATGTAGAGTGCATATCAAGCAGCTTCCTGGAACACAGAGGTGGAAATGCTGTGGAATGTTCATGTAGAGGGAGGGAACACCGAAGCCTGTTTCCCAGGAAGCAGCTTTATTCCTGCCAGCACTGACAG